ACACTACAACCTGTTCACTCTCTGATGATAAACACTGATTCACTATCTGACACATAAAATGATTCACAATCTCACATATGGAAGCGTTAAATAAGATTTCCTCTGTTTGAATCTGATGGTGGTTAAGATAAAAGATCAGATGAGGTCACCACAGTTATTAGGATTCACTTTCATATCAGAACAAATTCAATATCAATCTGTTCTGTAGTTGTTGCTTTATGCAGAGTTAAAGCACATTCAGTCAGTAATCCTAGTGGATAAAGTCAGAGAACATTTTCCTGTTTCACTCTGATTAAATTGTGTTTCTATACATTGAAGCTAAAGCTTTGTCATCCCACTGGACCCTAAATTGAATCAGTGTGGAGTTTGGTTGGATGCTGCGAGGCTGTGGATGTTTCCCTCGGGGTTCAGCCTGCAGGTCAGCCAATGATGGGTTATTTCTCCGGGAACTCAGAGGTGGAAATTGTTTTTTATGGCAGGTTGTGGCTTTTAGGCCGATCGTTAAACTCACACAGCAACACATCCGTCATAATGCGGTGGGTAACATCAGTTACCACCGGCCTCGCTCAGGATGAAACACAGAACTCGCACCCTGGTTGCACCTTTGTGTCCAGTTTCTTCTGGAAACAGGTTTGAATCCCAGCAAACTGTCTTTAAGCTGTCTCCCTCTCTCTGGTGTTAAACTCCACCCATGTGGCACTCCACTTGTACAAAACAAACGATCAGAGAAATATGACTTGGCCGAGTCCTGCTGCCGCCTTGGCACCACATCTGCACTTCATAGTAACCACAGACATGCGTTTTATTTTGTCTGTAACGAAGAAGCTTCAGGGACAGAACAGTCTGAGGATTTTAGTTTTTTTTGTCTGATGCATAAAAAAAAGTTTTATATAACTAAAGAAAATAAAATGAGTCCTTAATTGTTCAGCCAGTGCCGGGAGTAACAGAGTGTACGCTGGATGGGGATCAACACAACCCTTGATACGTGTCATCTTATGTAAGGAGAAAGTTTCACACCAAACTCCATTCAAAAAATCCAGAATTTAACGTCCTTGCTCACTGGAAGAGATATTTGCACTCATTTAAAGGTCCAGTGTGTAAGTAATGGAATATAATACTAACAGCTGGGTTTTCATTAGTGTATAATCACCTGAATAAAATAATTGTTTTTGGAAACCACTTGTTGCCAAGGCGACAGATTGATTACAGTATAGACAGGACGGCGTCCACAGAGGGACAAAATGTTTCTGATATCAGCTCCTAGCGTCCCTGGACTGAGTCAGTTAGCTTAGCAGCACAGCTCGCCGAACTAACAGCAGTTAGCGGTTGGCTACTGATCAAACTGTCCATCAGAAACTCTGTAAATGACCTCGGTACTGTTCGATCCCGGTCCGGCTGCTGAGACCGGTTCTGTTGCCTGTTAACAGAGATACAGATACAGTTAGCTGTAGTTAATTAGCAGTTAGCTACTTTAGCTAAAGCTATCTGTCCATCAGGAAACTCTTTTCTCTTAAATCTGATCCAGTTTCACCAAAATCACTGATAAAGTTATAAAGTTGAGCTAACTAACAACTGATGTAAATTAGTAGATGGTTGACTAGCATTTTGCTAACAATAGCTTTCATATGTAACTGGTTGGCTAACGATTGACGTAGATTAGCTAGTTAGCTACAGAGCGAAGCGAGGACTTCGTGTCTCTGTTGAACAGAAACTGAAGGACGTTTATAGACAGAGGAGACGAAAACATTAATGTTGACTTTAAATCTGCAGGTTTCTAAAGGGAGTTTTGAATGTGTTTGCTGCATCTGACAGGTCAGAAAATATTACGCAGAGAGGTTGTGACCTCTGACCTGAACTGAGCTCAGAAAGGTGAAAGGTTATCTGTCTGTGGTCAATATGGCCGCACTGATGCTGAGCCAATAGAGCCGTCTGCCCGCCTGCTGGAGGAAGTGACACAGACGGCGTTTAAATCGCTCCCATCTTTGACCTGATTACACTCGTTTCCAGCTGCTGCGTCTGATTTGAAAACTGGAGGTTTTTGCAGAAAACAGCTCCGACTTTGTTTCTCTTTCTAACAGAAATATTCTCTATGTTGCTGCAGTAGCTGCAGCTGGACTGTAATCTGTTTTCAATTATGACAGCAGCTAAGACACATCTGGAAAAATCAGCAAACTATGAACACATAACAAAGTCTCAAAGCCTCGGCTGTGTAAAAAAATTAGAAAAATGTGTCGTGAGCGCCAAATCAGTCAAATCATCCAGTGGCAGCGATAGGAGACTTTCAGACTCATGTCTCCGTCTCCGTCTTTCGCCAACAGCACCGATAAAATGAGCCGGCTCTTATCAGACAGGAGCAGATTGCTCAAACACATCTGAGAGGCCGAGACGATTCTCTCATCATTCTTCTGTTTTCCAGCGTCTTTAATTTTTGTCTTCAGCAGCCAAATTAATCACGCTGGCGTTCGGCCCCACGGCACGCCGAGTCTTCCGAAGGGAGCGCTCATTTACACAGCTGGAGGAGTTGAACCGGAGCGCTCCAGCAACCGCAGAAAAACCACAGAGGTCACAGGGTCACAGTGGGGTTCAAGGGTCACAGGCTGGTTGTAAAATAATGCCTGGCTCAAGGACACTAAAGCAGAAACAAAAAAACCTCTCAATCTCAGTGGATTAAAATTATACCTGGAAGAGATTAAACAAGAATATATTTTATTCAATACAACAACTTTAAATCAGCTTCTCTATGTAACATTAAACTGTAGCTAACAGCACCACCAGTGGTCGTTCAGTGAACTG